GGGAAGATAGGGTACCAAAGAGGTTTTGTAGGTAGGTATCCGAGATGGAATGAATTTGTATTTGCACCGGGTGGAGGGGTTGGATTTGCATGCACACAAATCAGTATATATATATATATATATCACATGTCTGACGCTAGACTGTGTGCCAAACAAATCATGGCACAATAATCTTTAAAAAAAGAAAAAATGTTCCATGATTTTTTTGCTATTAGATAAAATAGTGTCAGCAAACTTCAGGCACGCATCAATATGAATATTGCAGATATCGTCAATCAGAACAGATAAATAACTTGAGAGAAACGGTTGATCATTGAGAGGCCACGTCTCAGCAGCTTGAAATCGGCCTTCAGAAAACCAGGGAAAATCACAGGGGAGCAGCAAAGGGGTAAAGAGACAGCATACTGCTGAAAAAGCTCGTATCACACACTATTTAGAACAGAAGTAGGGCAGTATTGTTCTCCCGCATGTGCTAAACCATGCGAATATCGACAATACAAAACATGTTTTTCGCAAATGAACTCGTGAGACAAAGGTCAGTAGCGGGAACAAGGAACCTCTCAACATCAGCAAGGCGGTATTCCAAAGTCAGCTGATAATTGGGATGAATATGGAGTCATTTTTATCACTGTATTTATATAACCATTCACACAGCATCAAGGCGGTGAAAGCTGTTACGTTGCGTTTACAATCATTGATCCCAGAAGAAGCAAACAGAAGTACCAGTCTTGCAGTGATCATTTGCGGAAAGTCAATTCAACGAGAATCAGTCCGAAAAAGGGGATATCACATAAGCGCAGTGCACTAATGGGGATGCGATCAAACATGACCAACCACACAATACGTTCAATTTGTTTCGCTAATGAAGGCAATATTTTTTGAATAGGAGAAGCATAGTCTCAAGAGAACCACTAAAACGAGCAGTTTTAGTCAGCAGGTTGAGATAAATACTTAACAATTGCTTTCTTTTTTGAACAATAAATCACATACAATGAAGACGTGCACGATGTTACCAATGAAGATGAAATGTTGATAAACAAATTAAGCAGTGAACGGTGGACGAAGTTGGTAATCGCTAAAAAGTGAATGAATTGAGTTGTGATCAAGTGGGACGAAAATTACTTTTACCGATGTATTAACTGCATATCCAAATCCTGGTAAGTGGTTTCGGTGTTAGTCAGAAGAAGACGAAGAAAGGACTGCTAAAATGGGCAATAACCAGACAGCAACGCCTATAGATGCAGTGCACGAGTGAACTGATCTTGTGAAAAACCGTTGCCCAGCACAGTATATAAAATCAAAAACAGATGATAAAATTTAAACCATACAGTCAAGTGAGTGCCACCTGTGGAGTGATAAACTGTCGCAATAGTAAGTATTCTGACAGTGTGGGGATACCGCCTGACAAAAAGAGTAAGGCGATCGATGAAAATGTCGAAACTTGAGTCACGTGGTTCGGAGTTTGAGATGATCACGAAGGAATTAGACTCGGCTTGCAGCCGGCGGATTTACATGGTACACCACTCCGTCAAAAATGACCTATATAGTTGCCGTAAAACCCAGACAACAAACTCTTAGTGATATGAGAACTGTGGGATAGGTAACGCAATTGATAACGCTGGAATCACACGATGATTTGTAACCCGACAGTGATAAATACCCTTTCAACAGGAGATGAGAGCAATGCACATTATTTGAGTTAGCGAGCATTCGGGAGAATGCCCGCTAACACAGATAGTATTATAAGGATCTCTAATAATAATAATAATAGGTTTGAGAAAAACAAATAGCTCCGTATACACGGAAAACGAAGACGATAAGTGAGCTATGCATCCAAAACCTTGCGTTTGATTTTAGTGTTATTTTCCGTTAAGTATAAAGATTTTGGAAAGATGTCAAGTGATGTGTCTGTTGATGGTTTGGTTTCATAAATTCGCATCTAAGTGAGCATATGTAAGCTTCCTGGGTAAACTATTGGAGAAGCGTGGATATAAGGAGCATTGACTTCCGTTAGCTGATATTCAAGACGTAAGATATCTCGTGTGTATTGTGAGTGTGGGTAGTCGGATGGACAAATTCATGAGTATGAGATTTATGTTCAAATCTGTACAGTCAACGGGATCGGAATGAAACCATGCCAACAAATCACGACAACACAAGGCAAAAATTCGAAACGAATCGTATTCCACAACTCCTTCCAATCAAGATATCGGCAATGCAATGAAAAATCAAACCAAAAATTCAGTTTCAATAAACGCAATGACTAACCTTGCACCTTGGTATGCGGGTTTCGGTTGCCCATTTCTTCTAACAATGATTGAGGAATAGATAGAAACCAATGTTAGATTGGAGTGTCTACAGTCTCGGTGCGAGAAATTAGGCCAGTTTAGTGGTGTTTATGGTGTGCATAAACAGGCAAAATACACAGGGTGTGTGTGTGTGCTGGACTGCGGGTCTTTATAATTGACGGGAGCCGAATGATGATGGTATACACAGCATGCAGCATTGCATGAGGAAATTGGGCGGATAGCTATCATAAAACCCGGATACAGTGATATTGGTCAAGTAAATTAGAGATGCCAAAAAGCGAATTCGGTGTGTCAGGTGGATTGCATTGTGTGCAATTTCGAACACGAAGAAACTATGCCCAGGTTTCGTTTGGTTCATTGCGATCGCATGACTAATTCAACAAGGTTTTCGATGCAGAGAGCAGGTGCAAATGGAGATTGGATGGTACAAGCAGACGGTTGTGAGTAAAAGAAGCAGGAATCATTCAATTTGAATATAGAGTTAAGCTTATTTGCAACAGGGGTGAATACAAGCTTTCTACTCTTAAGGAGTGAACGGCATTCTTGCCGTGAACCAATGACACCATTTCGCAAACTTTTCTGAAGTTAAAGGATAGAGAAGGCGGGTAAATCGAAAATAAGAATGCACTTACTTCATTTCGTTGTGCCTGGTTTGCTACAGATCGTGTGGTGTTTGCAGACAAGGGCATAGGACGGTCGTTGCTTGCTGACAAGTCAACTGCACCCGGTCCGATCGCGGTATCCGCATATTTAGCGTAGAGCTGTTCCCGCTCCCACAGCCAACGGGCTTTGTCTTCTATGGCGAGTCGACGACCGACGTAAATCAGGTCTGTACGAGCGCATGTGCCCAAATCATTCAAAACACGTTGATGGGTCGAATCGTGGATAGGAATCTGAATGGATCTATCCCAGGTACGCGCCAAACTGGACCACAGAGATTGGTGCACCTCGCTAAGTCAAAAAACAAAAAACAGAAGGAAGACAAATTCACACATCACCT